CATTGTTTTGTCAACTCTTTCGAAAGACGAGTCTGTAGTTCGCATTTGGAGAAAGGTGAGCATTTAGCTCGAAATCCTACTCGGAAGGGGCGGGCACGTCAATCAGACTCAGTCAATATTTTAACGTTTCCTTCCTTCTCAAATGTTTTATCTGCTCCGTTTTTCTCTCTACCATATAAAGCGTTCAAAAGGAGCCAACACCTTTACACTCAGTTCAGCATATAATGCTTTGTTTATGTGACTATCGGACGTTTGGCGGTCACTTTAGGATTTGTCTGGTCCTTGTACACGTGGGCTGACCTTCGGGCCATGCCAGGCCCATTTGTCCTGTTGTCTTCAGAATACATGTATCCAGCTACACTTACTGACTACTTATATCGGTTAGGAAGTCTCGGGACGCTACACTGGTGGCAGCGGAAAGCGAATCCGACATTTTTGTAACGACTTTTAGTCGAGGTAGGATCTCTGTCTGCTACTTTTTCTTCGTTGGTCGTTTGTTACAAGCGACATAGTGTCCACAGTGGCATCCTACGTTTGTGCTACTAAACTTTGCCAACTAATCGACTGATTTCCGGAAAAGAATGGTAAGAACAAGCCGACTAGCAATGGTTCGATCGGATAATACAATGGTTAAGTACTTACAAATTGCACGGGATCTAGAGATGTATGTCGCTTGTTTCTAGTGTCGATGCTCTGGGGTGGAGTATCCATGAACCTGATAATCTGTTGCAACCCAAAATCGGGTTCCCTTGGCCGGAGATTCGAAAACCCTATTTCCATGGCAAGAAGTTTATAATCCAACCAGTAGACAAGGCTGCAAAGGAACTCTACGTTTTATTGGAGAAATCCAATATCAATAAGCGCATTTTGGCGTTGTCCACTGGCAATCATGAGCTATACATGAGTAGAAGGAAGTCTGACCCTATCGAAGTGCGGTAGGTGAAGATGCAAGCGAAAAGGGACGTGACGGAGAATCCCTAAATACTTCACAACGAAAGGATTGCGACTGACGACTTCATTTGCTTTCACCTCATCCTCATGTTCCACAGACAACTGAAGCGAAACCATCGTGAACTATCTAGAAAAGTTTCGTATCGGAATTTCCCATACAAAATCCGTGTTTAGGTGTCGAAAATGACACTACGAGTCTCCTTACTTACGGAACAGTGGCTCATCCCGTTTTCCTTGTAACATGTGTTTTAAACCAGAGTTCCGCCGTCTATTCCTGGAAGCAGTTGATGATCAACAGGCGTATGCAGTCCCGAATCTGGTTGTCAGACCGAAAGTAATTCCAGACCCAGTTGAAGCTGCCGAAAAGATCAGGTACGATGCCTCAGTCTCATGCTATCTGTCGAGTGGCGCGGTTCGCTCGTGGGTGCTTTCATTTAGTGCCGAATGTGTTGTGCTGACTGGCGAGGAAGGTGCACCAAAGGGGAGCGCCGAGGACGCTGCTTAAAAGAAGAGAGGAGCAGTGTGACCACGTGACGTAAGGCGGTCACTTTAGGATTTGTCTAGCCCATTTATCCTGTCGTCTTCGGAATGAATGTATCCAGCTACACTTATTGACTTCTTACACCGGATAGGAAGTCTCGACACGCTACACAGTCTACCGTAGACTTATTCAATCGACCCAGTTTAGGCATATCACCGATTTTTGGTAAAAAGTAGGTCTTGAAGCATTGGAGTTTGTGATAAGCTGGAATGACCCCGAAATTAGGGTTCGGTACACGAATGGTAGCCCAAGTATTTCGTACGATTAACTTGATGAGTAAAGCAAATTTAATGAAATAAAGTAAAGTAAAGAGCATTGTAGACATTCACACAATAGACTTGCGTAATCGTAAAATATAAGAGCTAGTTTCAATGTTTAACATTAGCCATTGCTGCCAAAATCATACTTTTATTAAACATGCTTTTTGTATACTTTTTTACCCGCAGACCTTTGCAATTAAAAGGGAAATTACTTAAGGTCATATAATAGCAATGATAATAACATACGTCAATGTGGATTTTGTCTGCGTCTAAGTGTGGGATTTGGTGCCATTTTGCAACAATATTTTGTAAGGTAAATCATCTTCGTTCCATGTTCAATCTATCATCTACGGCAATGCTTTTCCAACAAGACCAAGATTTTGTCTATACTCTCGTAAACACATCACACACTCGTGGCGGATGCTTGCACGTCTATGTGTTTTTGGTACCTAAATAGCTAAATTGGACCAACGGGGAGCTTACTCAGTTATATCTCCAAGTATGATTTGGCTTGGCGTCGTGCTTGTCAAATGGGATGCGTTCGATTTGTTGATATCCTAGTGGGGTGACTGTGATAGTTCACCTATTAAGGATACTTTGCCCAAGTATCAAAGCAAATCTTACAATTACTTCAATTTCGCTACAATGATTGCGAACTGCCTATAAAGTATACCCGTCTTACATTGAATCCAAGTGTCATTGAAAAGGTTCATTGGTCTGTTACATGGGTTGCTTTCCTATTTGCCATCTGTCAACGGGCTTTCACTTCCCTCTGACTATAGTAGGTGTTAGGGCATTGGAAATGGGAGCTGCCTA